TTCCAGGGGTTTCTGGGGGTCTCCAGGGGTTTCCGGGGGTCTCCAGGGGTTTCCAGGGGTTTCTGGGGGTCTCCAGGGGTTTCCGGGGGTCTCCAGGGGTTTCCAGGGGTTTCTGGGGGTCTCCAGGGGTTTCCGGGGGTCTCCAGGGGTTTCCAGGGGTTTCTGGGGGTCTCCAGGGGTCTGCAGGGGTCTGCAGGGGTCTCCAGGGTTCTACAGGGGTCTACAGTGGGTCTCCAGGGGTCTCCAGGGTTCTCCAGGGGTCTGCAGGGGTCTCCATGGCAACGCAATGTAAGCAAAGAAGCCGTCCACACCGAGTTCTCGGTCGTGAGGCTCCGCCTGTTCTGAAGTCTGGTCGGTTTTGTTAGAGAACTGTCAGGAAAAACCTCACGTCGAACTTGAATTTATTCATGAAGCTCTTTTAGTGTTGTTTTTAAGGATATTTTTACGAGACCACGGTGTCTAAATATTGTCAAGCGGTGAGTGTCGTTGCAGATGTGAATACTTATTCTTTAAATGTGAAGAAACGTTGGCAATAGAGGAAGCGACTGCTGTAGACATGTCACATGTCCGTCTGTATATGTGAGGCAGAGGGCCTTTTTATCCATTTCACCCAAAACCGAAACGACACATTAACTTCCAAACGGTTCATCTGTACATTTACGAGCACTTCTATAGGATCCATATCTCCAGTTAGTTTGAAACGCTGTTTTTTCTGCATGCAAATGCTTCAATAGAGTCTACTGAAAATGTAAAGTTCGTGGAGGTGAGTTGTGTGTGTTATTTCATGAATGTTTTAAAGCAGCAGATCCAGGAGAGCGTAGTTTTAACGGCAGTGTTTTAGGAATTCTTCTGGGAAAATGTGGAAATCCCTGCTGTCAATTCAAGGTCTGAAGAGTTTCAGGTGTCCAGGAACGACGATCACTGACGATTTGGACATTTCACACATCCAGAAGTTCGGTTCTCCGCTCCGATCGTCGCAAAAAAGAACCGTCACTTTCTACCCCTCGAGCCATTTCTCACCTTTTCAGAGAACAAGCGTAAAGGCGTTTTGAAGATGTGAAGCTTCCAGAACTGTACATACTGCTGTCCGACTTAGTGAAGGAGTAGACGTCGTGCTTCGTTTTTTTT